GACTTTTGGCGGGCTCAGCAGGGCAGAGACAGCCTGGACAATTGGCTTTTATTCTATTGGCTTTTGAAAGCCAATAGAATTAGACTCTATTCAAGAGAGTCTATTCTATTGGCTTTTAAAAGCCAATAGAATAAAAGGGAGTAGCACAGCTAAGGAAAAGGGAGGGGGGGGAAATGGCAGATTGCGTTGTTTGGCGACCCCCGTGAAATGGTCGTTCGACCCCAAATGGGGTCCCAACCCACAGGTTGAGAACCACTGCCTTAAATGATTCAATTATAGCTCACCCCTCAATTTGAAGATCAATATTAGAAGTAACTGCTAAATGCACTTCCATACATTTCCAAATCAAAATATTTAAAAATCAGGTTCTTGTATCAAATGATTAAAGGAGTGTTATGCCCCTGAGCATCTTTCCCATTGTTTATACTTTTACTTGTTATGCAGGCCACACACATCCCTATTTAAAGATGCCATAAACAGTTTCCTTTGAGCCAATTAATGGAGAGGAAAATGGCTTTTCACTTCAGTAGTCCCAAAGTACTTCAGCCACTTAAGATTCAGACATGAAGCCTGCTTTATTTCAATAATAGGCACACAAACTGCAATTTGTACTACATGCTAATGGTTTAATTCTAAGAGCGATTGCCAACATACTAATCAAAGGGAAGGGAAGGACTATGCAAATCAAAGCAGGACATCACAGCAAGAATGAAAGGGCTATGCAAATTAAATCACAGCACCTATGCAAATGAAGGCATGGTATCAGAGGAGTTACAAATGGGCTATGCCCATGAAAGCACCAAGAGTTTTTGTACACCTGTCAGATGAGGCAGAATCAACTCTACACTAATCTCTTGGCCCATTGGTGACAGCTGACAGGGCAAGGAACAAATGAATTATAAACCAGCATATAGGAATCTGTAGATTTTTTTTTCAGATGATCTACTACCACGTTAAATCATATCCTATGGAAGGTAAGTTTAAGATGCTTCCTCAAATGATATTTTTGACTCAGACTCAAGTTTCCTTTGGCTGACCATAGTCTTGATTGTGGCTTGTCCTCCAGATCCTCAAGGTTATTCTTACAACCAATTACAGGCTTGTACTCAGTGATTTAAAAAAAAAAAAAAAGGTGCCAGAACTCAAACACATCATACAACCCGCCTTGCCTACCCTACAAGGTTCCATCCAAAAAAGGTGCCGGAACTCCGTTCTGGGCATTCTATGAGGGAAAAAAGCCCTGCTTGTACTATTAGACTGATGTAATTCTCCATGGAAGAAACATATAACATCTGGTCTGATCCATTGCTGGCTTTTTCTCTATATTTATATTGGGCTAGAGTGAGGTCAAGCATAAATTATTTGACTGTGATATACCAAGTAATAAGACTATTATCACATGCACCTCCTACAATAACTTCAAAGATTCACCTTTCATTATCTGCAAACACAGATCCTTACTTAGTGGCCACAGTTGACACCAACAATTCCATCGCTAAGCAATACTATCACTAAATGGTCTGTGACCATGACAGACTTAATGTCTTCACTTTTGTCATGGTCATTAAGAAAGACCTCATATGACTGCCAGTTATGATGTTACTGCCAGCTTCTCCAATGACTTTGCTTGTCAAAAGCCAATTGTGAGGCACACAAATGTTCAATGACCATGGGATCCTGCCATGGTCATAAATGCCCACTGGCTGTCAAGCAGCCAAATGTCCATCATGTGACCGCAGGGTTGCTGGAACAGTCATAAATACAAAGACAAGTTGTAACATTGCTTTATTAATGTGGTCATGACTTCAGTTATTGAGGAAGGCAATCATTAAGCAAGGTCTACCTAGAAGAGCTCATATACTGGAATATTTAGGTGCTTTAACCTCAATGATATTGTTAGCCTATTAGATAATAATAATAGTAGTAAAGTTGAAAGGGACCTTGGAGGTCATCTAGTCCAACCCCCTGCTCAGGCAGGAAACCTTACACCATTTTGGACAAATGGCTATAAACCAGACAAGAAATCAACTCCACAGGAAGGCTAAAACTGCTTTATTGAGATTGCCTATAAAACAGAACCTTGCAAATGTGATTGTTCTGTGCATTCTGCTTCTTATAGTTCAATGAATCATGGAAATGTCTTTCCTGAAGGATAACTGGACATTCTGAACTTTAAAAATGCTTCAGCCCCTTTTGCTTAGGTTAGGGTTCCTGCATATCTTTCTAAAAGTAATTTCTCCTTACTGACCAGGAATTCATTAATATCCCCTATCCAGACACTAAAATTGCCTTGAACCATGAGATGGGTAATGTATAAATTTAATAAATATAAAATCAAGCCAATTGCATATGTTCTCCAGCACAGGAGATGGAGAATCCACCACAATACAGATACAATTAGCTCCTGCTGTGAATAAGCTATTTCATCCAAGATCATTTGTGTTTTAACTCTATTTTCTTTCTCTCCTTTTGGTCTATGATTATAAATTCTTTAATAAATGGAAACACATGCTTATCTAGGAGACCTAAACCAAAATCCTTCCTAAATTAGAACTGGGCCATTTCTTTATAGCAGTATTTCTAAATTTCAGCAATTTAATAAGTATAGATTTTAACTCTCATAATTCCTCAATTGGTATATTAGAGAATTCTGGAAAGTGAAGCCCACGTATTTTAGAGCTGCTGAGGTTGAAAAACACTATTTTATTGGAATCTGATGAATACAAGAATGTATGGAGGCTTTGTAACTCTCCAGAAACGTGTTCAGGAATATATGATAGAAAAAGGGGAAAACTAAGAGAAAGAGATGGAGATGGAGAAGGAATAGGAATTAACAGTCTTAGGTTGGACATATAAGTCTTGCTGCCCCTAAACTGACTAAATTTAGTCTATTACAGTCATCTTATAAAATTACAGAACTTTTGCTTTGTTGTAAAAAAAATGAATATTTTATTTATTTAATGAACATTTTATTTATATTCATTTGTTGTATGTCTATGGAGATTCTCAGTCATCCATGTCGTGGTTGTCCAAAAGGCACTTTTTCAAAGGCAACTGGACTTTGTTTTTCCATGGAGATGTTTCGTTTCTCATCCAAGAAGCTTTTTCAGTTCTGACTGGACTGAACTGAAGAAGCTTCTTAGATGAGAAGCAAAGCATCTTCAAGGAAAAACAAAGTCCAGTTGCTTTTGAAAAAGCATTTTTGAGATATTAATTTGCTACTCCTTTGGATTTTTATGACTAAATCCAACCAGACACAGAGCAAGTTACATAATCATAATTCAAATATCCCCAGTAGAACTTAAAATGAAACAAATAAATGTCCGTTGTAGGTAACACACATTAAAGAAGACCCTTGCTAACAATTAAAATCCACAATAAATGATACAACTATAAGTAGAAATATTAATATTCTATAAGCAACCCCTTACCTCATCTTTATAACTGCATATCAATTATGTACAAAATGAAATTCTATTCTCAAAAGACTTTTGCAACAGTTGGGTCCAAACATATGTAGTGACAGTCACCGGCCTCAAAATGACAGGTGCAATCATTTTTAAATTCATTTTTAATCATAAAATATATAACTATGGAAGGCAAAATTTCTGGTTTTCCATATGACCATTTCTATATTGTGGCTTTTAGGTCTATCAAAAAGTTTTAGAGCTAAAGTCAATGAAGATTCTCAGTCATCCAGGTAGAACTGAGGCAATTCTATTGGGGAAGAAACCTGAGGTTGAAATACCCCTAAGAAATTTGGGAGTTGGTACATTCCAACGGCTCCCTGCCTATTCAAATTCCGCTCACCAACTTGCTCAGACCAAAGAAGCTGCTTGGATGGGCAGCAAAAGGTCTTAAATCAACAAGAAAATAAGCCCAGTTGCCATGACTAAATTTCCAGACAATTCTAGAGCTAGAATTTAGTCTTCTATTATCATTGCTTTAAGACTAATTCAGATCTGACCTGTGGAAATATGACATGTGTTTTATGCAAAATAATTTTATAAGATGTTGCAAAACTACTGATTTTATTTTTATGGTTTCACAGATGCCCCTTATATTCATTCTGCCCTATTTTCACTCAATAATAATAATAATAAAGTTGGAAGGGATCTTGGAGGTCATCAAGTCCAACCCCCTGCTTAGGCAGGAAAACCTATACAAATGGCTGTCCAATCTCTTCTTAAAAACTTCCAGTGTTGGAGCATTCACCACTTCTGGAGGCAGGTTGTTCCACTGGTTAATTGTTCTAACTGTCAGGAAGCTTCTCCTTAGTTCTAGGTTTCTTCTCTCCTTGTTTAGTTTCCATCCGTTGCTTCTTGTCCTGCCTTCAGACGCTTTGGAGAATAGCTTGACTCCCTTTTCTTTGTGGCAGCCCCTGAGATATTGGAATACTGCTATCATGTCCCCCCCTCATCCTTCTCTTCATTAAACTAGACATACCCAATTCCATCAACCTTTCCTTATATGTTTTAGCTTCCAGTCCCCTAATCATCTTTGTTGCTCTTCTCTGTACTCTTTCTAGAGTCTCAACATCTTTTTTACATTGTGGTGACCAAAACTGGATGCAGTATTCCAAGTGTGGCCTTACCAAGGCATTGTAGAGTGGTATTAATACTTCGCGTGATCTTGATTCTATCCCTCTGTTAATGCAACCTAGCACTGTGTTGGCTTTTTTGGCAGCTGCAGCTGAATGTTGTAAAGTTGTCTTATGCTGGTTTGGTGGCAAAACACTTTCACTGACATCTCAATTGAGCCTTCTATATTGTGCTAATAAGTGCAATCCCAGCTTTTCTTCATACATTCCAAGTTCCAAATGGAAAAGATCTCTGCCAATTAGATCAACGATAAAGCAATAAGGAGCTCTAACAAATCCCATGTACATCTATGCAACATTGCTAATTCAGAAGGAAAATGGATAACTGGTTTCATTTGTTGAATGGGCAGGTAAATTGCAAATTAAACATAATGGATATTTCCCCCCTCTTGATTTACAGTTGAAGATAATAGTCAGTCTCAGAAGAAGAAAATTACAGTGGAAGATCTATTCAGCGAAGATTTCAAAATTCATGATCCAGAGGCTAAATGGATAAGTGGTAAGTCTTGCAATCACTTCCTACACCATTTGTTTCAAGCACTTCTCTTGCCTGTGGTGTTTCACTGTATTTTTCAGCTGAGCAAAATTGTATAAAGAGATTCTGTATAAGTCAAACCTTTTTATCCAGTGAGCATAGTGATACCACAACTGACAACATCTTCCCAATATTATGAAACACAGCACACCCTTTGAGCTTTATAAATAATATGTGGCAAAGAGCTGAACTAGAAAACTTTATTTATTTTTTTAAAAAAGGCTATGCCTATTCTAGAGTAATATTGAAAACATTGAAAATGAAATATTCCATGGATTAGTAGAAGCTAAACATTACTACAGCGAAACTAAGAAGTGTAAAAGCTTGTTATCTAGGTTTAACTGCAAAATGTCGAAGCAAAAACATTTTAATCTGGTGTCAAAAAGAGTATTATAATCAGAGTATGTCTCATAGGAACATATACCAAAGTATACATTGCATAAAAGTATATACAGGGGCTGTTTTTGATTTGTTGATAGAGCTGCTTTGGGGCTTGAGCTATTGGGCAGAATTGTGAAGGTAAAACAGGAAAACTACCCAGAATTCCTTACAAGGACAGGAGACACAAAGTGGATAACATGAAACAGAATAAGAGACAGATTTGGATTATAGAATCTCCTCCTCCTCCTCCTCCTCCTCCTCCTCCTCCTTCTCCCTTTGATGACATAGTTCTAGGTTTCTGCCTTCCCAGTCTGTAGATCTTTTGGGACTGCAGTTCCAGGTTTCTCTGTCCAACATAAAAAATCCACCCCTCTCTGCCCCACTGTGTTTTCCGTTGGTTAATCCTGTATTATTCAAACCCCTAACAAAAGTATAATTCAAGCCCATTACAAAATACATCTGCCTTCCATCATATCAGGATGCCTGAATAGAACATCTGACTCCTGTTTCTCTAAAATCTTTAAATGAAGAGCGTGCCAAATATTTTTAATTTCACCTATATATTTTTCAGTTAGGAGTGTAACATCTTATTACTCATATATTCTGTTACTTAATGCTTATTTAGCGGTAAAGCCTCAAGATATGAGATAAATGACAGCACTGTTAACCAGCTGCCCTCTTACAATTTTAGAACAAAGTGTGGGGTTTGTGAGCAGATGTTCCTGTCACCACAGGGATGGATATATGCTTATGACCATAACTGGAAATTTCTGTTGCTAAGCAAGGCAGTTTTTAAATGAGTTTTGCTTCCTTTTATGATCTTTTGCCAAAGTTGCTAAGTGAATCACTGAAGTTTTTAAGTGAATCTGGCTTCCCCATTGACTTTGTTTGTCATAAGGCTTTGCAGAAGGAGATCACATGATCCCAGGACACTGCAACCATCATAAATATATGTCAGTTGCCAAGCATCCAAATTTTGATCACATGATCACGTGGATGCTGCAAAGATTGTAAGAATGAGGACTGGTCATAAGTCACTTTTTTCAGTGCCATTGTAACTTTGAATGTCATTAAATAAATGGATGTAAGTCGAGGACTACTTCTGTAGGACAATTAATTTAATACAAAGATTCTATTATTGAAATAGTGAGATTTATTTTTACAGTGAACAGTCAAGCATTCTTCTCAAACAGATATGGAAATTACTTGAAGTAGTACCAGGGTGACTACAGAGTTCATGACCTGACTTCAACACACAATGACTAGAACAGGGGTGTCAAACTTTATTTCATTGAGGGCCACGTCAGCATTGTGGTTGCCCTCGGGAGGGCCAAGCAGGGCCATGGGGAGGATCTGGGGGTCTCTGGCAGAGCGGGGATTGGACTGGGGCAGGCACCGGGGCCTGGTCCACCAGAGGAGCCTTGCTGTCCCTCTTGGGCTGCGCCATGGTCCCCCGCACACTTGCCACCTCCTGTGCCAGGCTGAGGTGAGGGGTTGGGATGGTTGGGGGCTAGTCCCTCGCCATCTCTGGGTTGGCCCTGTGGGCCAGAAATGGGCCCATCATGGACTGGATGTGGCCAACGGACCTTGTGTTTGACATGTCCGAACTAGAAGGTCCATCATGCATCTGTGTTTATTCAGATATAAATCCCATGGACATGATGCCTGGTAAGGGCAGGGTTTTCACAGTGCATTGAGATTTTGGGTTGTTTTGGGACCAAATTGTGTGTTGTATAGATTACTATGTAACTATTCAAGTTCTTGGGTGCAATAATGAATAATTTAAAATGACCATGGAGGGTTCCTGGATCTACCAACTATATTTCTTCTCAAAAGGCTTCATCAAACTACTTTTCTTTCCATCATTCTCCATTGCAATACCTGCCTGTCAGGACTTAGCCATAAGTAGATGAATCTTCCTTAGAGAATTAGGGATGCTATCACTGGTCTTAATCAGGTAAAAGTGCCAGGGATGAATAGAAGTAGATTTGAGGGCCTGGTACATCTTTGGGACTGCAGGAGTAGAGAGAACTAGAGCCAGTTTAGTGTAGTGGTAAAAGTGCTAGACTAGGATACCTGGAGGCTCAGAGGTAGGAAAGCCAATTTGGTGACCTTGGGCCAGTTACTCTCTCTCTCTTCATAGGTAGCTATTGTGGGAAACATAGGAGAAGGCATATTATGTATGTTCGTCATCTTGTGTTTCTTATAAAGTAATAAAGGCAGGATAAGAATCTAATAAATATAAAGACAGGATAAGAATCTAATGAATGAATAAATTAAGGCAGAAGCCTTGGATCGTCTGGCACACAAGGTTGCCAGAAATACGAAGAAGTTTCCACATACAGGCTGGATCAAGAGCGTAGTAAGGCTGGAACTGTAGGAACAGCTATGATGACACTAGTTGATGCCTATGCTTGAGGCTGGTTTAACATTTTCTTTTTTCAGCACTGCTGCTATTGGACAGCTGCCTATCAATTGAAGCATTTGGGTCCTGCAAGGGTGCTACTCTTGCAGGAACAGTGGGAAATTGGAGCCCCATAGCAATGGAAGGGAAAATAGTAACTAGAGTTCCTGGCGTTTAGTTTTGCAAAGAAAAACATCTTTATAATCTATAAACCCAAACCCAAGAGACCATGGATGAATGCTCGGTTCTATCTATTCCTTCTGTCACTTGATTTCAGTCTCAGATGCTTCCTTTTTATTAAGCCATGCTTGAGGTAAAGAAGTTGCCCATGGCTCCATATAATGTATGTTTTTATTCTTGTTTTTGGCTGAAAAGAATCGAGCTGTGTGTCTCATTAACAGGTTGAAAAGACTGAAGGTTGATCTGGCACTGAAAAAGATCTATAGTCAGCTGTCACTGGATTCGCTGTTATATAAATGTCAGATGGCTTTGGAGCTGAATGGCTTAGCCTTTTGCTGCTGCTTTCTCTTAGAATGTGTCCAATTCTCAGTTGTTTTTGGTGTAAAAGCTCAGAAGATTTCTGTTGTATAACTTAGCATTCTTTCCAGTCTATGAGTCTTGAATTACATAGATGGGCATCTTGCCGAAAGAAATAAATTAAATGCCACCATTTTCATCTGAGGCCATCAGAACAATTCTGTAGCCTTAATTAACATTCACATAACCCTGTGGGGCTGACAAATGTGGTTATTATACTCATTTTACAGCTGGGTAAACAACAAAACAGAATGATGACTTTAAGTTCATCAGCAAGGCAGTGTGTGGAGTTGGGAAAACAATATGGTGCACCATTTTGATAAGCACTATCATAAACCACTTTTGTCTTTATTAATTTCATTGTAGTCTTGGATTCCATTACATGATAACTTAGTTAATGGACAATAGTACTAAAACCCATTAAAATGAACATTGAATTGACAATTAAACCCTTTTATTTGAGCATTCAAGAAAATAATCTGAAATAATAATACAATAGTATTCCCTTGAATACAGATGGATTGAGTTCCGAGAGATCAGTTAGTTGTGTTTATATCCATTTAAAGAGGAGATGGCAAACCATGCATGGCTGAAGCATTTAATATTTTCATTTTTCAAAACAGAAAAGCTTGCTGATATGTGGGAGTAAATCCTCCTGGAGAATCTTTGCATCTGGCTATAAAATAAGAAGTCAGATTGAGACTATGCTCATAAAATCCACAGTTCTATGTAGGTGGCTGTGTAAAATATTTCTGGGCTTTTCATTGTGGGTTAGTAGCATTTTCTTTTATAGATTTTTAATTAATCAAGGAGAAAAACCTATCAGGTTATGTCTGAGGAGATTCTCAGTCATCCAAGTTTTAGTTGTCTCAAAGGTGCTTTTTCAAAAGGCAAATGGATTGGGTTTTTTTTCCTTCAGGAAGAAGAAGAAAATATTTCACTTCTGTCAGAACTGTCAGAAATATTTCACTTCCATCATCCCCACCATCCTACCAGAACTGATAACGCTTCTTGGATGAGAAGCAAAATGTCTTCTTCTTCCAGTTGCCTTTTGAAAAAGCATCTTCGAAACTATCAGATTATGGTCTAACAATTCATCTCTTCTCAGTCCCTACTTCTGATTACTGAGGACCAAGGTATTCCATGTATAAGTGGCACAGCAGATAATAGGCGTTAGGGTAGAAGCTTTGTCTTTGACTTACAGTAGATAACTATGGAAAAAATTCCAAGTATTATAATAGGGAATTTTTAAAATTATATAAGGGGCTCCAAGATGAAAACTGAACAGAACAGGACCAAATTTGGTGTTGGCGGGGGAGGAACGAGAAGGAAGGGGGTAAAAGAGGAAGAAATCCTTTAATGCATCTCTATGGGAGAGGTAATTGGACAGAAGCTCTTATATTGAACTGCTCCATTCTAATGGGCAAGAATTCCATAAGGCAAGATTCCCATGCTTTTCCTGATTTGTGAGTGGCTTTAACCACAGCAAGAGGGCAAGTTTACAAACTGGCATTTGTTGATGTGTGCATACATACAGACCAATGTTGGAGTTCCTATTTTTTTCATGGTACTTAAGATAATTTATCTTTCATTTGTTTATGTAACAGAGCCTTAGTGCATTTTTTGACAATAAAACCGGCTG